TATTTCCAAGAAGCAATCTCAGCAGGTTTATTCTGAGGAGCTCCTTCAATCAACTTTGGTTTATCTTTATCTTCAGAATCTAGTTCTTTATCATACATCCACTTGTATTTTTCTTTTCTCTGTTCATTAGCCTTGTGCATTATCTCTGAAAAGGTAGACAATCTGAATTAAGGCTTTAATAAAATGGCGATAAATTTTGTGATAAAACTTAATTACAATACTTTAAGGATATGATGCATTATCCTCGCTTGTATATTTTGCTTGAAAAGCGTCCAAAGATAAATTCGTATAGCTTATCTTTGGCGCTGGAACTTTAAATACATTGGATCCTGTAGTGGATACAGGTGTATCCCATCCTCCCTGTGATCCTGTTAATCCTGGTGTTAATCCTGGTCCCCTTGGTGTTGGGGCTTTTAATTCGATGCATTGGAACAGAATGACTGCGTTAGCGATTTAATGCTTTTAAATCTTGAAATGCAATATAAATTTAGTACTTACCATTTGGTTTCCTGGAGGGTGTAGTTAATTCATTAAGTTTACGAGTAGCATCTCTGATTAGATCCGGATTATTTGAATTCCAGGCATCTACATAATCGTGCTGTGCTTCAAGAGTCAAAAGAGAAGGAAAAAAGTCCTTTTTAATAATTTCGCTTAATGCCTCTGTATAAGTATCTTCGTCTAAAATCTCTTGTTTTGGTTTTAAAGGAGAGCTCGTAAGTGAAGTTTCACTGTCATTAGAACGGATCAATTCTTTACTTGGAGTTCTTGGAGTTTCTTTGTCATTCATTTTTTTTAGAGTGAACTATTTTAAATTGCAATATTTGTATTAAAAATTTATATATAGTATATATATATATATATATATATACGTATATATATATATCAGGTGATATGTTATCAGTAATTCTGATTAGATTGTAACATTCAAAAATGTCAGAGTTTTATCCTCTTCACGAAAAACTATTATACGAATGGAAATTAAAACTTTCAAAAACAGAAAATTTGTTTCCATGTCCAACACTAAATGGGCTTTTCAAAGATGAAGCTGAAATTTTTGATAATTTTATGCAAAATCTGCTGGAAGTCCAAGGTTTTTATTACATTATTATTGAGAAATTATTTAAATGTAAAATAATAATTATACTGAAATAATCAGGATCAAAGCACCTTCACGAAGAAAAATTAAAAGTCCATCCTATATTCATATCCTTGACAAATATATAAAAAAAATTATAAATTACTCCTATAAGCTTGTTTCCCTATACTTTTTTATTTAATGTTACGTTCCGAGGAATTATATTGTTAATCGACGGATTCGAAGAAAGGGAAATATTCTCCGTACATCGAGTGAAGAGAACTTATGCATGTATTTTTATTAATTTATTTTAAATCATTTTTTCATTTTATTTCTAACTTCCCTTTATGAAAAATAGATCAGGATGAATTGGTTAAATCTTCACAAGAAGTTGAGTGCGAAATAGATCACGATGAATCGGCCAAATCTTCTTCACAAGAGGTCGAATGCGAAATAGATCCATATCTAATTCAAAGTTTAAGAGCAAAATTAACGATTGGAAAAGCGGATGAGATCTTATCTGATTTTAACATATTAATGAGATTGCCACATGCACAAGTAAATGTCTGAAATTTTAATTAATGGCCTTTTTCATCTTTATTAACAACTTATCATTATTTATTTAGCTCAATAAAATTTTTAAAGACTTGGATATTTCACAACTCGATGATGTCGTCCTGGCTATTTTATCCAATGAGCTTGTTAAATATGAAGATATTGCATACCAAAATTACGTTGTGTTTTTTAAATATGGATTGTTAGAAAAGGTTTACATTATATTTTCGTACTATTTTTATTTTATTTTTTTCTATAGAGACTTAATTGAATATTTTTTAGGTGCAACACATAAAATCAAAGCCTTCACGAAATTTCCTGGCAAATATTTCAAATATTGCAAAGGCAAAAAGTAAACCGATGGTTTATGGATTATTATTGCCTTTGATTACGGAATTTGATATGTGTAAGAATATAAAACTCGTCTCGATTAATATATCTTAGTATAAAAGTATATGTTTATCTTTTTAAGATGTAAAATCTAGCACAACCTCAATTAGAAGTAATTGCTCGAATAATCGACAGCGGATTAAGTGAAGAATCTATTATTGCATTATTGAAGTAAGCACCTTAACCTCGTTTCAAAGCAATATTAATAATTCTATATACTTATTTTAACAAATATTTTAGTGAATTATTTTCAGATTCTTATCCTTCGACCTCTCAAATTATTAATTCCACTTCGAAAGATTCTTTTAGCCTCCAAATAAAATGGTCATCCTCAACAATTGATGTCCTATTTTTGATATTTAACCAAAAATTCGACCTAAAAGAAGCTGCCTCACAACATATCATTCCAAAATTCTTACGGCACCTAGATTTTAACATTGAGTTGTTGCCAAACGATAAAAAATTGGGGCAGCTATTAATGTTACTCGTTACGAAGCACTCCAAAGATTTTATGGAAAATCTGGAAGAAATAAAAGTTATTGCTGAAAAAAGTAAGTCATTTATCAAAAGAGGAGTTTTAGTGCAGATTACAAATTTAATGAAGAAACAAAATAGAGGTTGATGATTAAAGATTTGGAAATGTCATAATGTCAAGCCACTAAAACAGCACAAAGAAGTGAATCTACATATTTCTCTAAACAAATAAATGTCGAGGTATCTTATTAAAAAAAAAAAAAAAAAAATTACAGACGTTTGCTCAATATTTCATAATCGTAATCATCGACATATTCTGGATCTACGCATCGACTGGGGGAAATTTCATCTACTTCATACCTATATATATATATATGTTCAAATTAAATGTTCAATAGATATACAAGGTGTAAATATTTTCTTACCCGAGATGGTTACAGTAAAAATTAAGCGCAGCAGTGTTTTCTAAATTTCAATAATGCATTAGATATGTGCATCAAATAATAAAGGAATTTGTTAATGAATTTAAATCATAAATACCTTTAAAAGCGGTAAGCATGCTTTTCTTCATTCCCCAATATTTTCCGATTGATTCCATCGTAGTCATCAAAAATGTGCCTAGTCCTTTGTTCCTTGCTTCTTCTGTTAGCTGAATTTCATAACTTTAAAAAAAAAGATAAAATAATCATAAATATAAAATAAAATAAAATAATCATAAATATAAATATATAAATATAATATTCATAAATATAAAATAAAATAAAATATAATCATAAATATAATATTCATAGATTGTGTTAAAATATACCAATAGATGGTTTCAATTTTTCGATCGTCGTCCGCCATTGTTTCTTCAAAGGTAAATTGAAACATAATAAATCCGATTGGATTCCCAATAATAACATTGTTATTGATAGTGTGAGCTCGTCTAGCAATAATATATCGTGCGCCGGCCTCACTTAATTCTTTCAATTTATTTGATGAATTCCAACCTATACTTGAGTTCTCATAACTATAAGATTATAAATGCGCTTTATAACAATTGTAACACATATAACTTGCAAGGGATAATAGTCATTTGTTGATTCCAACAGCCTCATTCAATAGCTATTCCCAAATAAGTAATTTAAGGACTGGATTAATTGGTTCCATCGGAATTAACAATGTATATAAAACTAATTTGAGTCGATTAACTCATCCCTACGTAATAAATTTGATAAAATATTTACAATTTTTTGGTATTTGATTGTATCAAATGAAACGCCCAGCCCTGCAACGCGTCGGGAACAGTCGAGGCCGGGTAATATTCGATGATGGTACTAAAACTTTAATACATAAAAGTAAGACATAAATGTAAATTAAAAGTAAATAGCAATATAAAGAGAGTTCTTACTCATCACAATCATAGTTGGTTGGCAGACCAATAAGATCTATATTAGTCGCCTTATTATATAAAACGCGTTTAAAGAAAAATGGCAAAAGAAGTGTGAGCCCTTTTTCCTTTTTATGCTTAATTGTGAAAAAAAAAGTCAATTGTTATTAACCTGGTTTGCTATTTCAACGAGATTTTGGGTAGTCATCACGTAAAGAAAAGATAGTTTCGTCAATTATTCAAATAAAATTTTGTATCTTCTAAATTTTTTTCGAATGTGATTAAAATCAATCTGACTGGTCGATCCTTGAAACTTCGTTGGCTGCTTATTGCAGAATTGTCCGGAGCGTAGCGGGGGGACGTTAAGGGGGACGCATTTTTTACAGTAAACTATATAATGGACGTTTAAATT